ACAGTTTCCCTTTACTTTGCTGGTAATTATTAAGGAGGTTTGGCAGATTTGGTTAATTAAGTTGACTCAATTGTGGAAAAAAACTCGCGGGATTGGGCGGGATTCGAACCCGCATAGGCCTTATACGCAAGCCAACGCTCCACCTATTTGAGCTACAAATGCCACGCTTCACACCATGAGTTTAATCACACTTGGATCGATATTACCTACCCAACTTTGCCGCTCGTACGGAATTTACCAATACGGGACAGCAAGTTGACTGCTCAAGCAGGATTTCCTAAGCAATCATCTAGAATTCATCTAGAATCAATCTAATGTTCATCTGCCTTAAATACTAGCGGCTGTCCGCTTTCTGGCTGGCAAGGCTCGGGTGTGAGCTCCCAGACAGAACGGGAGGAGTGAGTCCTTTAAATAATCCGTGAGCATTCATCCAGGTGCAACCAGGTGCACTGAGTAGTACCTGCGTTCATGCCTTTACGGTGGACTCACGTGAGAGTTCGAAACGTCGGAACAATAAGCGATGGATCCTAGAGACTGGCGTCACTTCTTCATCATACTACGTATACTTTAATGTGCGTAGGTAAAATTTAAAAACGAAGGTGAGCCACCAACCTTCTGGCACCCTCTACCGTACAGTAAAAATGTGTCATACGCAACCGAGCATATCGCTGCAGAGCTCGGCATGGGTATTGCTCATCGCCCGACAGCTACCATGCGTTCACGAGTCATGCAAATAAAAGACCCACTGGATGTAGGTGAGCAGTCTGGCGCCGTTTATCAAGTGCCATATCGCGATTGTTCTTGCAATTATACAGGGCAGACCGGGCGACGACATAGCTGGCGAATAACAGCACAAACGGGCAGTGCAGAAAGGCGACCCACTGTTCCAGATCGCTACCCACACCCTGGAAGAAGGCCACCAATTCGACTCCTCGGGCACACGGATAATGGCACGAGCCAGTAATAAGACTGGTAAAGAACTGCTAGAAGCCTGGGTGTCAGATCATAACTCCGTAAACAGGCATGTGGATATACCGCCCTGCTACTTTGCCATCCGTACTCGCGACCAGAAACCGCGGCCCAATTCCCGTACAAACATGCAGGCTGTCACGTTAAGGTCACACGCCACAACTCCATGGGCGCGCGTATGCGACACAGGATAAGACAGCGTGAGCATGGACGTGGCGTGGGCATTGACCAATCACAAGTGCGAACCCCCTCCCACCCCTATTTACGCGTAGCTAACTCTTGCTGTTTCTCACTTTCTCTGACGATGGCTTCTTGCGTGGAGTCGAAAGCTCAGACGAAGAAAATTACCGTTCCAGAGATCGCGTCTTCTGCCTCTTTATTTAAAAATGTATTTTATCCTGCCTACAAGGGATACTGATAAATTATCTGCCCACGTAATAAAGATTGCTCTGCGCATAATTCTCGAAGGGGTGAATACTTCCGTGTTCTAAGCCTAACACCATCCTTAGCATAAAAGGAAAACGTAATCCGCTTCAAGGGAGAGGTAGGAGGAAGCTGAAGGGATGAGCATGTGTCAAGAGATATTTCTATCATCTCTATTAGGTATTTAGAAATAATGACAGGAGCGTGTGTAGTGCTTCGTACACGGATGGAGTAGCCACCATTCTAAAGCGCACTAGGACTAGCCTAAAATGTGGTTGGCAAGTTGAAATGAGAACGCATCGGAGGAGGCTGTAACGGCCAGCGCATCCGGCAGAGTTCTTCAAAAAGGCACGGTCAAAAGTACTGACCCTTTTTAATGTCGATGATCGACTGTCAAGTTGGTCCTGGAATGCATGACGATGGCCGGTATTCTAGGCAGAGAAAAGGTGGAGAAAAAACAGGGTTAGTTTTCGACAACTTTCTCTACGTCATCAGGCAAGTTTTGAGAATCAAAAGCAGGTAGGCAACATCGTACTCTGCAGCCTACTAAGGCAGGACTTTTTATTAGAAGAATGGTCAACTAAGTCGTAGAAAACCGAAACTGCTGTCGGTCAGACGACCTAACAAGTCACATTGTTTGTAAAAGTACTGACAGTCAGACGGCAACGGATGCATCCTGCGTTTAAACGAAACGA